AGAGCTCACCAGTGAAATATATTTTTAGAAATTCTGATGAGGAATATGAAGAACTTTTTACGTTTAAATTCCTTAGTTTCTCTTAGAATTTAATTGTTATGCCTGATTTGTCACTATCTTTATTTTGTAAAAAGCTTTATATTTTGACTTAGGTTAGACGTTCTTCTTTAATATATTTGCTCCTTCTGGTGATCTGGTGAGGAGACAACTTGACGAAATTTCTGTGACCAATATAATTTTATAAACAATGCTTACAACTTGTTTACGTGAGCCTTAAATTTTAGTTCAATCGGATCTTTTACACTAGATTGTTTTGCCTCATCAATTTATTCTCCTAACTGCCAACCAGTTGGCTTTTTGGCTGACAAACAGTAACTATTTTTTCCTAAGGCCCAAAAGCCATCGTTATGCTAACTGAATATTGTTTTTAACTATGAATTAATTTGTCCCTAAAGTTGCAAGATATATTTTACTATAGCTGGTTAAATAAATAAATTATTTTTCAGAATTAAAGTAATCCAGTTCTAGTCGCCTTTGGTCGCATTACCCTAGATGAGGAAGGAATGATAATTGAAATTCCCCCTATTTATAAAGTAGGACTCATGTTTCTATTGAATTTCACACAGTTTTGCTGCTTGAAAAGTTATCTTATCCAAGCTCATCTGGGTCTCATTAGCAAGAGTCTTGATATGCTACCACCATTCCACGCTGTTACGAGTGCCCTTGGATAAGTAGTATAATGCGAATTTTAGGAAAGGCTATGCCTATGTCGGTAATACAAACTTACATTTTGCCAATACAATAAACCACGTTACTTGTATTTATAGTAAGTAGATTTCAAACGACCAGTAGATCTTGAATAAGAGTTCTAAAATCTGGGTTATCCTGAGAGTCTTGAGGTCTACTTACCATAGATATATCATGTAAAGTTATGAATAAACGATAGCTAAATTTGTCTATGCTGAAGTGAGTGGAAGTTACGATGTGATTAAATTTCATTTTGCTTTCTATCCCAAACTATCAGCCCTTAATCACTTTATTCGATCTAGACCTATAAGAGCCTGCAGTCAAGATTTACTGGTAGTTTTTAAACATATGAATGCACTATGATTGTCTAGGCCAGGCATCTATTTAGGCTTAACAATGAAGTCGTATCTAAAAGCAATTCAAACAAAGATAAGTAGTCTTGAATGCCTGCTTCATCTCAATAAAACTCGTATTACGCTATTAAAGTCCCCTATACAACATATATTTAGAGAAAAAGTATTTTCGAGACTCTCTGCTAATCTTGACGAAGATATCTATTCACCATAGGTAACAAATGATGATAAAAGTCTGATATTTCGATTTTATCGCCTCACGTTTTTGCTGAATTTCATTCAGCCTTGCTTCCATCCTGGATCCTCCTGGATCACATCAGCACCCTAGCAAAATTGATAGCCTCAAAAATCCACTTTATTTGAAAATAAAATTACCCAAACAAATGGATTTTAATTAATAATACAATATTATTTAAATGGCTAAATACAAAGCCTGCTTTAAGGATCTATGATATGTGCTCATCTTATTTCATTTAAGGTAAAAGAGTACAGTTGGTCTAATTTTCTCACAGTGATATGAGTAAATCTTACGTATCTATTGAATAGCCTTGCTTCCCAAAACCTAGTCTCATCCAGGCAGTAGTGGACAGCATTTTCGACCTCATACAAGCCTCATCATAACTCCAGCGGGACTCGAACCGTGAAAGTGCATTGCACGATATCGACACGTTAACCACACTGCCACGGGTACTCTTGGGTGATGGGGCAGATGTGAATGCCAAGGTATGCTGGGCATCTTCCCATATAACATTCTGTGGTGAGATTATCCATGAAGCGAAATTATATTTCCCTTAGCAATTGACAGCGTTACTTATTTTTCAACTGTAGTCCATTCCTGCTTGGATAGGAGTAACTTTTGAAAAGCAAAGCAATATGAAATTCAAACCAAGCGTAAGGTCTACTCATGATTTTGGGAAAATTACGTTAAACGAAGAAGAGTGAACACTTCTCGTACCTCTTATTTACTGGTAGTCATACTACGCTTCTTGCAAAACGACATTTTTAAAAAACTGGTTGCCCAACATTCTTTGTAATAAAACTTAAAGTAGCATCCGAATTTATTAAGATTCACTATTGAATAGAGCCTTTTGAAGTATGGTCAATAGAATACAATATTATGGTCTATCCTACGAGCACGATCTCATGATGTACAAGTAAATACCACACATGTCTTTGAGCAAAACCTTGGAGAGAATAATGATGTACGAAGGGTTGCCTTCTGTGGGCGGAAAGAAAAAAAGGTCTAAGGTTCTAAGATTGATGCATATTTTAATTGTATGTCTGTCCACTTTTACTTTTTGAAGACTTTCTTTTGAGATTCAACAATTTTGCGGCCTCCCCTTTCGCTGACCTATGCTGAATTGGCTTTGTGTCAGCATCAATCAGGTTCAGATAAGTGAGCACTGATTCCTGCGTAGAGCATCCTGCATGACTTTGGCAGCAGTAGGTTTGTGACCTGAGTCTTTTGTGTCAATCAGCTTCATCAACTCCTTGAACACCCTAAGCACATGCCAGTTGTAGAGAGCTGAACATTCCACCAGTACACTGCCCTTCCACTGCTTCTTCACCAGCATGGCCAAGTCTCGTCTCGTATGGCAGCCGCCACTGCCTCCAGCACCAACTCCGCCGCCAACGCTGTACCCTCCGGACGCATTGACGGAGGTGCCGGCGCTCAGACTGCCCACACCGCCTCCTCCGCCGCCAGCGATGGAGCCGGTTCCCATGTAAACCAGACTGCCAGAAGCGCCGACTTGCAGACTGACTGGCGCTGCTCTGGCGAGGCCGGCAGTCGTCGGCAGATGCGTACCGCCCAACAACTGGCCGGAGCCGCCCGGACTGACGGCGTCGCCAGAGCAGCCAGAATTGCCGCCAAGGAGGCCGAACAACCCGGACGGATAGGCGGCCAGGGAGTTGAGGAACTGGTTGGTGGCGCCGTTCCATCCGCTTCCGCTTCCGCTTCCGCCTCCGCCGGCACTGGTCATCGGTTTGGCCGAGCGTCTCGCCTCCTGTAGGACGTCCATCTTGTTGGCGACCACCACCATGGGCACGTCGGTGCCAGCCGCGATGATCTTCTCGCGCAGTTGCCGAAGGTAGTGGAACGAGTCGTCGGAGGCGATGTCGAAGACGAGGATGAATGCGGCAGCACTTCGCAGACTCCAGCCCGGATAGTCGGTCCACTCGTCGAGGCTGGAGACGGGAAAATGGCCCAGCAACGGTGGACAGTCGATAAGACGCAGGTTGACCAGACAGTCGTTGAACAATACCACGGGGTAATAGTAGGTCGGTCGCATCGTCGGCAAGGGCACTCTGTCCGGCTCGGTGAAGTTGACAAATCGCTCGATCAGCGTCGTCTTGCCGGATCGCCGACTGCCGAGAACTGGCACTTTGAGGATCTGGTAGAGGGTCAACAGAACACCGGGTCCTCCGCTCTGTGCCGCCGTCTCGAGAGCCGATGACGCCGGCAAGCCGGGCTCCGCCGACCCTCGCCCCGCAGCGCCGCCGCCTCCTTGGGCACCTACAGCAGGGGAGCCAAGGCTGGCCGATACCGGCCGGTTGGGTCGTTGCCAGAGACTCGACTGGGCGCTGCGGGCACCTGTTCGTCCGGACTGTCTGGCTTTTGTGCACGTCACGGAGACACTGTTTGCGGGTCTGGGCGCCACTCGAACGACCCTCCTGTTCACCGACTCGAGGCAGTTGACTAGTCCGTGACGGATACGGAACGGCCTTCGGGCAGAGCAACTGGCGCTGGACGGAGAAGCTGCGGGAGCGTCAGGTTTTGGGTCGCAAATTGTGGTATGAGGCCGAGTAGAGGTTCGGGTAGGACCTGACGAGGACGTGGACGCCCATTTGCTGGGGTCTCTGGCGGAATCAATTGCCAGATCTTGGTCGTCAGGACTTGGAACATCTCTGCGACCGTCAAATAGGCCATATTGGCAGGTATTGACAGCATTAAGACACACTTCCGTCTCAGACCTTTTGGGATTGATGCTGCCTGTCTCCTCCTCCTCAAAATAGGAGGCCTTTTCCCATCCCGCAAGTCTTGCAGCTGCCAAATTCTTCATATACGTGGCTCGACGACCTCTTAGTCCATTGTTCATCCGTCGTGCCAACAATTGCCGGCACCAATCCAGCCGAAGACGATTTCCCGGC